TTTTTTAGGTGTATATGCCAGTGTATGGTTGACCAACTGAATGAGTGATTGTGTGAGTGAGTGAGTGAGTGAGTGAGTGAGTGAGAGACTGGTTGATGGGTTTGGTGCTGCTAGTGTATTATGTTGTTGTAATAGATTAGTGATAGAGAATTGAATGTATTGTGTTTTGACGTGCATATGTTGTTGATGTTGTAGTGCGTGACAATGTATGTTAGTGTGTATGGAAGAAGTGTTTGTGATTTGAAGTGATTGAATGGGTGTGTGGAACAAATGTTGGTAGTTAGATAGATGGGTTGTTTGATTGAGGTGTGGTAGTTATTGGATATTGATGGTTGTGTGCCATCCTCTGTGCAAAGGCGCCTGGATGTACTGCAGTCACTGGGCGTAAGAACCAGAGGTAGATTGAATTAGTTGGTGATGCACTGTGAATGTTGTTGTGCATCACCACACAGTTTTGTCTGTGTTGTGTATGTGTGAGGTGTTTGATAAGGGTATGGTAGATTAATGTGTATAATTGATGGATATTGTGTAGTGTTGTTGTGTGAATATTGTGAATGATAGTGGTGCAGTGTTGTTGTCGTGTGTGATGGAATGCATATTGTGTGTTTGAGGTGTTATGTTGAAGTGGTGAATGTGAGTTTGTATGTTGGTTTTGTTTGATTTGTTTTCGTTACTGTGGCTGTGGTGATTGATAGTGATGAAAGTGACTTGTCGGTATACAGGTTAAAATGCCGTTTACTTCTAAGGAACCACTGATGATGTTAATATGACATTGTGTGTATGATAATTAATGATGATTGATTGAAATGCTAATTGTTTTTTGTATATTTGTTTGTTTATTTCAGGTTTGTCGGTGGTTTGTAGTTGGTGATGGATCGTAATCCAACTGCATAGTACAGCATAGAGTGTGCGGTTTTGGAGTGTGAGGAAGAGGTGAGTGAGTGTGTTTATGTTTAGTAGTGTGTTGACGATGATGTTGATGACTCAATAACCTGTGTGTGATGAATGACTTTAGATAGGGACATCTGTGAACTACTTGATGACTATTGGTTTTGTCGTCTGACAGTAATGTGTATAGAATGGATGTATTAGGATTGTGAATTGAAGTTGAATTGATCCGAATGTATTTGTTTTGTGTGTTTTAGGTTTGTGAATTGACGATGCGACTGACAGTGTGACAGTGTTAGTGAGTTTGAGGTGAGTTATTGTAATTGTATGTATATATTGTTGTTTTTTTAGGTGTATATGCCAGTGTATGATTGACCAACTGAATGAGTGATTGTGTGAGTGAGTGAGTGAGTGAGTGAGAGACTGGTTGATGGGTTTGGTGCTGCTAGTGTATTATGTTGTTGTATTAGATTAGTGATAGAGAATTGAATGCATTGGGTTTTGACGTGCGGTTGTTGTTTATATTGTAGTACGTGACAATGTATGTTAGTGTGTATGGAAGAAGTGTTTGTGATTTGAAGTGATTGAATGGGTGTGTGGAACAAATGTTGGTAGTTAGATAGATGGGTTGTTTGATTGAGGTGTGGTAGTTATTGGATATTGATGGTTGTGTGCCATCCTCTGTGCAAAGGCGCCTGGATGTACTGCAGTCACTGGGCGTAAGAACCAGAGGTAGATTGAATTAGTTGGTGATGCACTGTGAATGTTGTTGTGCATCACCACACAGTTTTGTCTGTGTTGTGTATGTGTGAGGTGTTTGATAAGGGTATGGTAGATTAATGTGTATAATTGATGGATATTGTGTAGTGTTGTTGTGTGAATATATTGTGAATGATAGTGGTGCAGTGTTGCTGTGGTGTTATTGTATGTATGATTTTGTTCATTCGTGTTATTGAGTTTGTGGTGATTTATTGTAATTGTATGTATGCATTGATAGGTTCGGACCTCACTTCACCTTAGTTTCCATCTGTGTTGACGCACCATGTTTGAACTCGATGAAGCTTTAGGAGGCTCAGAAGAAGCCGAAGATATTCCATGGAATCAGCTTTTGGAAGAATGTTTTAGAATTCCTATATGGAGCTTCACGATTGGACAATACTAATGATAATGACTTACTAAATACCACAAATAACTTACAATTTTGTAACATAATTGACACTGTCTGGGAATACTATTCGTTTCATTAGTCTTCTGTCTTCTCATCGTGACTTGGAAGGGTTTTTGCGTTCTATTTCTCACGTTATACACGGTATATCAAGAACAACCTTCTGGATATAACAGTATCATTACTGCCAATTACCTGATAAATTATGAAGAGTTGTATTTTTCGGAAATTAGTTTATATGACATTTATTGTATCCACACTGAAAATCTCGAATCGAATTCAGAAACATCATATATCTATTAAAGATGACGTTGTGCTTGGATTACTTAACGAGTATCCATTCAGCCATATTCCCAAAATCCTGCCTATCCAATATTGACTCACTCACTTCTGTTCGTGATGTCTTTTTCACTTTCAATCCGATTGAGCTTAATTAATTAAGAATCATCGATACTTTGAAAATAATATCAAGGCTAACTAATTATGAGCAGTAAATTTCTGTCTGATTATGTGATTTGTGCGAATTTATTCAGTTTGAAAATATCAAATTGTTTCTTAAGACCCGCTTAGTTCAACACTCTAGCAGTACTTCCGTATTATTCTATATTTACAACTATTATAGTGTAATGAATGCAGTGAATTGTCTAGACTGTTTTTTCTACAGTGACTGAATTGTGATAATTAACTACTAGGGGCAGTCAACAAAATATCTAAAGAACACTGAGAATAATCTATACTTACATTATGAAAAATTTATTAACCAATTCCTATATCCTGAAATTAGAGTATATTTGATTTTATATGAAAATAAAAAGAAGATTGCTTACTATTCAATACATTCATAATGAAACAGTTTGATTATTGATTTACAATAATGGAGGAAAGAGGTATACTTACATCTGTAGAGGAGCATAGAGGCTAGACTATAATTTATGAACCAATCAATCAGATTTAAGATGACAGGTCTTGGATTTTGATGCGAAATTCACTCATCCATTTTGTTAAATAAAGTTTTGGCATTATAGCTGATATTCGTTCGTGATGAAAAACCCAAAATCTATTTCCGAACCCTAATCAACAACAGTAAATTATATTTCTTATTCCTTACATTGGTTTATGAGCTTCATTTCGTCGTAGGTATTATGTAGACACTGTCAAGTTCACCTCAGCTTTGCTCAAATGTCATCCACTAACTAGTTAAACCCTTATACTATACCAATTTCACAGTATAATAGTAAATTGTATGATAGAGTTATTCAATAATGTTTAACTATATAACCTAGAATTATCTCTTATTTATTCTATTTATTTCAACACAACGACGCACCAAATAGATAAATGAATAATTCAATTTGTGTGAGGAGCTTTTGACCTAAAGGTCTGGTCCGTAAGACAGTGGAGCAACGTTAGGAGATGCACTCCTATGCTAGCCGGTGACCAACAATTGGTTCGTACGCCATTTGTTCCTTCAGGATACTGAAACCTATGTGCACCATTGGTCTGGCATCAGAATTTCACAACTCCCCTAAGTGTATCCGCCGTGTCCACCAACCCGGTTACATCATCGGATATTCGCTTTTCATCCTCTCAATTTCGTAAACAACACCGTAGTGGCAAGAAGGCAATGAGTAGAACTTCTCTGGCAGTGGCTGTGTATGCTTAGCCATATGAGAGCATTTGAAAAGGGAGAGTGGATTCTCTTTACTCTCAGCCGAACCGAGGCATTTAAGGGCGCTTTAAATTACATCCAAACACATATCAAAAAGAAAAGAAAAAACAACAAAACGTTTTATTCTGATTGTTTGACTGGATTATATAATATTATTGTTATTTACATATAGAAATGAAACAAAATTCCAAACAATAAATAAACAACAACAATTATTTACCTAATCCATTGAAGATTCAAGCATTTCGATGTTTGTTTGTTTTAAACAAGCGGGGGGGGCGTTGAATAAATTAAATCGTTGAATTCTACCAATATTTTTGTTGTAAATAGATAAATTTTTGTTCTCGAAAAAAAGTGTAAATAAATAGAAATAAAGTAAACACACACCCCTACGACGACACCATCACCACCACTGATGTCATAAAAGTGAAGTCACAGGGTCTGGTAAGCAACTATGTATGCGGTTGGATTAGCTAAAATTACATTCGATATTTATATTACTTTAATTTAAATAAGAAAACATTCTTATACCTAAGCGAAAAACCAGTATAAATCAAGTAACAAAATGTGTAATTCAGTAACAATAACATTTTATATAGTAGGAATATTACTAGTTGGACAAATACACATACTCAGAGAGAGATGATAGAAACCAACTGGCGCCAAGAGATTGTGTGTATATATATATATATATGTCTGTGGGTGCATACAATTTATGGATTTAGTATCTAGGACGATAAAAAAAAAATTGACTATTCTTAGTGAACAGGGAAAAAATTCTTTACAAAAAAAGGATAATTACATCACATAGATATAATAATAATAATAAAAACACAACAAAATTGTAAAATCCTAATCACTGCTTATACATTAAAAAGAAAATCCAACTATTCTCATTGACAAAAGTCTAATAATATAAAGAAAGAAAATAGAAATATGAACCAATTTCTGTATCACATAAAGTGAATTTGTCAAATGAATTGCTTATCTTCAATACGAATAGGATGATGATGAAAATGATTCAATCTAGAGATTAGATAATTCACTGCTTTATTACTATTTGAGAAAAGTTCTGTTACACTAAATTCAATCATCCATCATATTTGTCAATCAAGGAGAAATCTATAAAAGTAAGTAATAAATCAATCAAGATAAAAAAGGATGGGGTAGGTAGAGAAAAACATTTTGATCCCATTATCTATCTACCTACCTACCCCTTCCCTACCACCACCAAAAAGAAAAAAAACAGTGTGATCACTAAAAGATTATTAAAGAAATTCATTTTTCGAATAGAAAACAAAAAGCGGGGAGGGGAGAAAGGAATAAACAATCAATTAGAAATGCTAAATTCTAAGGTGATGAATCATGATAACTAGGTGGTGGTCTTTCATTATCATTTCTAATAAATGATGAATGTGGTATAGTTGATAAAGTATAATCTAAATGATCTAATGTATTATCATTATTATTATTATGTTGTTGTAAATATTGTTGATCTAATGCACCAACAGAAGCTGCCATTTCTAAACGTGTTGCTTCAGCATCTTCTTCAGATAAACTATTTAACATACCTAATGTACTACTATTATTATTATTCATGGTTGATGATATTGGATTCGGTTCATTAGAATTTATAGAATTCGATGATGGTAATAGAATGAATTCATTCTTATCATTAATGGATAATATTAAAGATTGACGTATATTTGATATTGTATGTAAATTCGATGTATCATTTGTTAATTGATATCGATACATAATATTCTCTTCTAATTTATCATTGAAATTTGATCTATTAGGATTATTGGCAATGATATTAGAATGAGTATAACCTTTTCCAAATAATGGCTGATCATGATAATGATGATGATGATGATCCATATATAATAACATTGATGTATTATGTTTTACATTGGATTGTTTTATAGGATTATTATTAGATGAAGAACTAAATGGTGATGATGTACTACGTTGTTTATAAAAATTCCAATTACGTAATAATTGTATAGCACTTGTTGTTGATACATCTGAATTGTTAACAATTTTTCTATCAATTGACTATATATAAGAAAAAGAAAACAAATATAATTGAGTATTTTGTTCATTTGAATGGATGAGATCTCATGAAGAGTAAGATTGTGGATATACACTGTTGAGGAGTTTCATACAATAGGATGAAACGGCCATTCAGTGTTTCTACGTTTTCTATGATGGTCTAGCTTCAATTGATTCATGATCCCAACTGTTTAAATTACTACAATCTCCAAAAAAACCTTTTCTAATATTTTGTTAATAACACAATTCTTATTTGTTACAACATCGACTGAGATGGTTGGGTCACGTGTTACGTATGCCCGAACACTGATTACCACGATGTGCAATCCTAACCGGTGTTGGAGATGGTTGGAAGAAAGTTAGGAGAGGCCGAACCAAAACGTGACATCAATGCTTGAAGTCACTAACTTCTAGTCTGAGCCATGATGGGCGATGCATACTACTTGGTTGGGGTCCGCGTGACTATCGTAACCAATGGTTGGAGACTCTTGGTGACATAGCTCAGAATCGATCACAATGGCGTCGGTGTATACACTCCCTGTCTTCCCTTAAACTAAGAGATTAAAATCACTTCATATCTTTCTTTCTACGAACTAATTCTTTCTTCCTATACTATATCCTTATTGCAATCTTTCTCCTATATATTACCACCTTTCACCTAACCACTCCTATGAATCCGGTGTTCAACTTGTTGTGTTAATGAGGTATGGCAACTTGGACCGATGCATAAATGTGTCTGGTCCTACGTTGTTGCTGACTGACTGACATGTTTGTGTATTTAGCTCTAAGGCATAACATTTGTATAGGAATTAGTGATACTATTACTTGTTCGGACTTAACTGAGTGTCAGCATTCGAGCTTACAACGGCCGTCCAGTGCTTCTAGGGTTTTTATGGTGGTCCAGCTTCAATTGAGTCATGACTTCAACTATTCAAATTTCTAAAAATCTAATATTAGCCAATCAGTATAACGTATATGTGTTATATCTCGAGTGCACAGAAAATAAAAGTGACATATTATCAATTACATAACAAGTACTCCCCAAATACGACTACTCATTGAAGTATTACGACAGTGGATTTTAATGAGTCAGTCAGTTACAACGTAGGACCAGGCACATATATGCATCGGTCCAAGTTGCCATAGCGGATTATTACAACAAGAGAAACAGCATTTTAATGAAATCTGTTCAATAGTTGAGTAACAAAACATATGACTTCGACACACATACACACAAGATATCCATTCAAGTGTAATGTTTGTTGGTATTAGAGGAACCTAGAAAAAAGCTAGAAATCATCAAACTACAAAACGCGTTATTGTTTCATGAGGTCATTGACTGTTAGTCTGAACCATATTGGTAGGTAAAAGCTACCAAATTATTGTTGTTATTATTATAAGCTTTCATTCAGTCAGCTGCAACGTAGGACCTGGCACATATATGCATCGGGCCCACTTGCCACATCCCACTAGCACAACAAGATGAACATCGAATTCATTGAAGTAGTTAATTTAATGGTGGTAATATATAAAAGAAAGATTGCATATAAAAATATAGTACAAGAAGAAAGAATTACTTCGTAGAAATAAAGGTATAAAGCAATTTTAATTTCATAGTCACGCGGACTCTAACCAAGTAATTTGCATCTACCAACATGGTTTACACTAGAAGTTAATGACTTCAAGGACTGATGCCACGTTTTGGTTTAGCCGCCCCTAACTTTCCTCCAACCGAATTCGATCTTTTCTATCTTCGGACTTCACTTAATGTTTTTTCGGTCCTGACACCAAATATATATATAGAATTATTATTGATAACCTTTGTTAGTCCAATTCTTTGTATTCATTTTATATCCTACCTCAATGTTAACTTTAGATACATATATGGTTGTAAGCAGCTAATGATAAACCACGAAATATAGTAAATTCATATTATTCTGCATCCATATGTGTCCTGGCTTTATTCAAATTCATTTATTTATTTTATTTATTTCAACACATAGATAATGGTACAAAGAGGCACCAAATACATATGCGCCACACAAATCTCATTTGATATGTGTGAGGGCTGTGATACTGCCCGGGTGCCCAAACCGAAGCAGGTGGTTTTCTTAGGCTAACACTCCCCGAGCCTTCGACTTGAAGGTCTGACCCACAAGGCAGTGGAGCATCGTAAGGAGATGCAGTCCCATGGAAGCCGGTGACCAACAATTGGTTCATACGCCATTTGTTCCCTCAGGATACTGGAGCCAACCCATGTGCACCATTGGTTTGAAATCCCGTTAAGACGCCGGACATTCGCTTTTCGTTCTCTCATTTTCGTAAACAACACACCCGCCACGAGAAGGCAGTGAGTAGGACTTCCCTGGCAGAAGCTGTATACGCGTGGCCTTGTGAGAGTATTTCGAGAGGGAGAGCGGACTCTCGGCCGCACCAGGGCATTTGGGGGCTTCAAATTTATAAAGGGAACTAATTATGAAATAGCTAGTTGGTTTCTGGATGATTAGCGAAATTAGTAGTTGGAGACGTTCAGAACCAGTGCAGAGGTATTCACTCATCCTTGTCCTCCCTTGGATCTTCGGTTTACGTACTTTTGATGGTAAAAATTCATTCTTTATACATACTGTTAATCTCTAATTTTTCCTATTACCATCAATACCAGTGGTATTGTTAAAACTACTACTATACTGGTATTTTGTATAATGATAATTTTATCTCGCTAAGACGATATAGTGTGACTTCTTGAATCATTGAACAACTATGCCATGTTCTACATTGCTGATGATTAACTGAGTTTCAGTTTTTCGAAAATAACAGTAACTAACTCTTTGAAAGCACATATATCTGACATTTACCTTTGGATAGTACGCAAACTAATGCATAAATAACCCACAAGAAATACAATACAATGAGGATTTTAATTTCATTAGTACCATACCGGTTGCTGTTAGAGGTATGAGAGCGGTTGTCACTTCCCGGTTGCCCACACCGTGGAAGGGTTCTTCTGGAGGTACCTGAAAAGGAAATCGGATTATACGTGGTCTTAGTGACCTGAGAGCGTAACCGCAGTGCCCAAGGGACAACTGCTTGAGGTCGGTCACACACGACCTTTTTATGGGCAATTTTTGTGTTAGCTTCGTATTTGTTGAGACCTTACCACCTTCTTCTTTTCTTTCTTTGAACACATAAATATTGGTACAAGAGAGCGCCAATATATATGCGCCACACAAAACAATGGGAATTCGAAGAGAAGTAGAAAGAAAAAAAAAAAAAACTAAGGAACGCAAAAGAAAAAGAGAGTAATGACGAAGAGGTACAATCAGAAGAAATCTTTCAGGTAAAGGAGACACAACCACTTTTTATGAAGAAAGTAAAAGAAGGTTACAGCAGGATCGCCACTGGCTTCTATTCTGAGCCATATCTGATAACGTCTCTAGCCACTGTGTTGCACCATCTCTCGGACCCCAACCAGGGAGTCGTGAAGGACCAACACAAGCCAGTCCTTTGCAGCTTTCTTTCATGCCACGACACCATGTCATGCACTGACCACCTCTCCGCTTCTTCCAACCAGTCCCAGAGTCGGCAAATAATGCACGACGTGGAATTCTCTGGGACGACATTCGGAGAACATGTCCAAGCCACCGAAGTCGGTGTTTCAAGATGGTGACACCAATTGAGTTATCATCTCTGTGCCCGAACACACGATGCCGAACCTCTGCATTACTAACATGGTGTTGCCACTGAATGTCAGCAATCCTTCGGAGACAGCGATGATCAAACACAGAGAGTCGTCTAACGTCCTCAACTCGGAGAGGCCAGGTTTCACAAGCATAGAGCAAAACTGCTCTCACCGACGCGTTGTAGATCCGGCCTTTTACAGCCAGACTGACATCACGAAGGCGCCAAAGGTGGCCCAGATTGGCATAAGCCGCTCTGGCTTTCACTATTCGTGCATTGATCTCATCACTCACACCCCCACCAGCACTTATGCAGCTACCCAGATACACGAACTTCTCAACTACGTCTATCTGCTCACCATCCAGGGTGAGTACAGGATTGGGATCCTGCCAGTCTTGTAGAAGTACTTTGCACTTCGAAGGTGCAAAGCACATACCATACCTACGGACATTGATTGCCAACTGATTAAGTGCGGATTGCATGCCTTGGGCATTATCGCACAGTAAGACAATATCGTCCGCATACTCAAGGTCGAGAAGTCTTTCTCCAGGCAACAGATCCACACCACCATTACTTACATTCATCAGAGCTGTTTCCAGAATGTCATCGATGGCAAAGTTGAAGAGGAATGGTGAGATTGGGCAACCCTGCCTAACCCCACTGCTCGAATGGAACAATGGAGAGAGGTGGTTGTATGCCCTCACTCTGCCTGAGGTGTTTTTATACAGGGCTTTTAGGATGTTAATAAACTTCTCAGGCACACCCTTCTTCAATAGACAATCCCAGAGAACAGTCCTATCCAACGAATCGAAGGCAGCCCTGATGTCAAGAAACACAACGATTGTTGGCCTTTGAAAAGTATGGCGGTGTTCTAACATTTGGCGGAGGGTGAAGATATGATCAATACATCCTCGACCAGAACGAAACCCAGCCTGCTCCTCGCGAGTCAATCTTTCTCGGGTTTTGAACAACCTACGAAGAATGACGGAAGCCAATAGCTTGGACGCAATCGGAAGTAAACTTATCCCCCGATAGTTGTTACAAGAACGACGTGAACCCTTTTTAAAGATAGGGACAACTATCGACTCATTCCATGACGTTGGTACACTCTCTAGATCCCAAACCTTTGTAAACAACGTCGTCAATTCCTTAGTCAAAAAGTCACCACCATCTTTAAAAAGAGCCGGAGGTAAGTCATCTGGGCCAGGTGATTTGTAACGTTTCAAGAGTTGGAGTTCCTTGCGGACTTCCTCCTCATTTGGTGGATCAGTCGTCACCGGCCATGGAGGGCAGGACAGTCTGACCGATGTTACCGGAGCAGCAGGCCAGTTGAACTGCCCTTCGAAAAATTCTGCCCATCGTCCAAGACGTCGATGGATGTTAGTGATTGGCATCCCATCATCCTCGCAGATTGTTTCACTCACACCAGACTTCTTGCTGCCAGTGGCTCGGATGAGTTGGAAGAGCTTCCGGTAGTTACCAGATGCAGCTGCTGCTTCCAGCTCATTAGCACGCATCGACCACCAGGCTTCTCGGTCCTTACGCAAGCTTTGCCCGATTTCCTTACGTAAAAACCTTCGTTTATGGTCAAACTCACGGTTACCCGGAGTAGACCGACGGGCTTCAATGAGTTGTAAGGAACCAGAAGAAACCCAGTGCTTAAAAGCGGGACGTTTCGCAAACCCACAACTGACTGTTCCCGCCATTTTCATGGCGTCATGCAATTGCAACCAATGCTCATCTATACTTTTCGGTGGAGTGGTAGCTAGCCTAGAGGCTAGCTCGGTTCGATACTTACTTGCAACAGAAGTTGCAACCAGCTTGCTAACATCAATCCGTTGATGGCGTTCACTTCGTTGTCCACTGAAAAGTAAGGCAAGATTGGCGCAGACCAAGGCGTGGTCAGAGTCCAGATAGGTACTCCAAAAGGAGCGGCAGTCTTGTACACAACCACGCCAGCGGTAGCTGATCGCGATGTGATCAATCTGAGTCCAGGCTTGAGATGCAGAGGGAGGACGCCAGGTGGCACATCGGCGATGACTGTGCCGAAAGTTAGTGCTAGCCAGAAACAGGTTGTGGTCTGCGCAAAGTTGCAGTAGACGGTCCCCGTTATCTGACCTGCGACCAACGAGTCCCCATCGGCCACCTAAACGACTCTCTTCTGTGCCTAGACGCCCGACCTGAGCATTCAAGTCTCCGGCTAGTACTACAATATCTGTCGAACGCACTTTCTGGAGAAGAACTGATAACTGGTGGTAAAACTCATCCTTGATTGCATCCGGGCTGCAATCTGTCGGGGCATAGGCGGAGATGACGAAAAGACATCGTTTCTCACGCCGATTTCTTCTCACTTTGATGGAACTTTCTAATCTAACAGCACATAACCGACTGTTAATGGGGATCCAATCAATTAGTGCTGCCTCAGCTCTAGCGCTTAGTGCGACACCAACGCCAGCAAAACCAGACGAAGATGCCACAGGGTCCCCGGATAAGCGCACGTAAAACAAGCTTTTCGAAGCGACAGATGGAGATCGAATTTGTAGTACTTCGCCAGAGTCTTGAATACGGGTCTCGGATAGACAACACACGTCGATATTAAGACTTTCCAAAGACATAGCCAGCCCTATCTGTTGTCCGACCTGCATAAATGTGCGAACGTTGAAGGCAGCCAGTTTGAATGATGCACGTGGTTTCAGAAAATCTGCTTCAGTCCTCGTATTCGGTGGTAACATACAATTTTCAACCGGACAGTGACTCGAGAACGTTTAGATACAGTCGGAATTCCACCAAAGACGAGCCGCTGTATAAGTATAAAAGAAGGTGAATAATGTGGAAAATAATAATAATAATGATAATAATAACAATAATGACAATAATAGTAGTAATAATAATATTAGTATTAATAATGACAATAATTGAAGTGATCATAATTTGAATCAATTGATTGTTTTTCAAAGCGACAAAAGTAGTTTCCATAGACATAAACAGTTCATCATTTGTGTGTGGGCTGTGATACTGCCCGGGTGCCCAAACCGAAGCAGGTGGTTATCTTAGGGGGCCACTCCCCGAGCCTTTGACCTAAAGGTCTAACCCACAAGGCAGTGGAGCATCGTAAGGAGATGCAGTCCCATGGTAGCCGGTGACCAACGATTGGTTCATACGCCATTCGTTCCCGCAGGATACTGGAGCCCATGTGCACCATTGGTTTGGAATCCGGTTAAAGCGCCGGACATTCGCTTCTCGTCCTCTCATTTTCGTAAACAACACCCCCGCCACGAGAAGGCAATGAGTAGGACTTCCCTGGCAGAGGCTATATACGCGTGGCCGTGTGAGAGTATTTCGAGAGGGAGAGCGGACTCTCCCCACTCTCGGCCGTACCAGGGCATTCAGGGGGCGACCTTACCACCGGAGACGGATATCCATGGGATAAGGCGAGGTGTGCGTTTTTAGGGTCGACCTTTTCTAACCCCACGCCTCCTTGTGGGAAGGCAGCATCGCTGTCATGCTGGTTGTCTGAAGGAAACACCTTACTGCTGTCACACCTCTATACAGTCAGCAGTACGACTTCGCATTCGGACCTTGGGTTTGTTGCTTTCAGTCTTACCACTCGTCAACCGACCTTTCTGACGTGGTAGGACCTTGAGGAACAGTTGTTCCAGTCAGTATAGCTCGGTTGCTTCATCACGATAGGCAAGCCCGACCACCACGTCAAGGTAGCAACAACGGTCGGGTAGTACCATACCTATAAGATTGAATTTCTGTTGTAAAAAATAAAACAAAATAAACAAATATTTATTAAATCTAACCCTAACTATTTGTATGTTATTTACTCTGTAACGAGATAATATTTACAACATTACCATCTCGTTGGCAATTAGTGTCTATACGTATGGGGTATATGCTTTGCACCTTTGAAAAGCAAAGTGCTTGCATAAGATTGGTAGGAGCCTGATCTATCACTCACTCTGGGTATTTAACAGATAGAAATAGTGGAGACGTTCGTTTATCTGAGCAGCTGCATGAATGCTAGCGGTGACGTGGGTGATGAAATCAATTCACGTATAGTGAAAGCCAGAGCGGCTTATGCCAATCTAGGCCATCTTTGGCGCCTTCGTGATGTTATTCTGGCTTTAAAAGGTCAGATCTACAACGCATCGGTGAGAGCAGTTTTGCTCGATGCTTGTGAAACCTGGCCACTTCGAGTTGAGGATATTAGATGACTCTCTTTGTTTGATCATCGTTGTCTCCGAAGAATTGCTGACATCCAGTGGCAACACCATGTTAGTAATGAAGAAGTTCAGCATAGTGTGTTCGGGCACAGAGATGATAATTCAATTAGTGTCACTATATTGAAACATCGATTCTGGTGACTTCAACATGTTTTACGAGTGTCATCCCATAGAATTCCACGTCATGCATTATTCGCCGACACTGGAAAAGTCGGAGAGGTGATTCGTGTAAGACATGGTGTCATGATGGTATGAAAAAAAGCTGTACAGTACTTGTTTCTGATGGTCCTTCACGATTCCCTGGCTGGGGTCCTAGAGATGGTGCGACACAGTGGCTAGAGACGCTATCAGATATGTTCAGAATAGAAGCCTGGGTCGAAACAAGTAAACATCAAAAACAAAAAGGAAGGAGAAAACTTACACGAAGAAATTCATTTTTATCATCTTGCATACATAAACTAAGTTCCGTTGAATTATCATCTACAGATTGTTGATGTGTTGTTGATGTAATAATAATCTGTTGTGAATTATTTTGTTGTTTTCCTTCATTTTGATGATGATTTAATAAACCATGTAATGATGATGATGATGATGAAGATAAATGATTATGTAAATCTATTAAAAATGAATTATTCGATAAATTATTTGGTAAAATTCTTAATAATTCATTATTACAATTCTCTTTATTATAATGATTTAAATAAAATTTTCGACGATTATGCGGTTCATACAATAACGGCATATTATTTTTACATTTTTCATTTCGACTACTTATATTATTTTCAGTAGTTGAATTAGTAGTACTCAAATGAATAGTGTTGACAGTTTTACGTTGATTACACATAACTGATAAACTAAATGTAATAATAAATAAAATAGCTAAAAATGTAATAAATACTGCTAATAATAATGAACCAGCTATCCATATCATATGTACACTACGATAGATTGAATATTTCTTTGAATAGATTGATTTAAAGGATTGTAGAATGAAATTATTTCTATCTTTCTTCTTATGATGATGATTTGATTGACTAGATAATGATGATGAATTAGTTCTATTCAATAATATTGGATAACCATTTGAATTAAGATATAAAATTTGTATAGAATGATTCGATTGTTTATTATTACTAAACCAAATTAATTTATTCTGACATGTTGATTTTAAGAATTGTCTATTCTGATGTGTATACAATAGGATATCATCAATGCATACATTGTTTGTACTGTATATAGATAATAATTGTATAGAATCTATAGCAATCCAATGATCAGATTGTTCTAAGACGGTCTCATGAAGTTTGGAAGGATTTACATATTCATTATAATGATAATTAGTTTGATTAGAGAGTGTATTAAGATCAGTAGTAGTAGTGATAGTGGTAGGATAGATAGGCATTGAAACATTAATCCATACATGATATGGTAATGTATTATTTTTTAAATCAGATATTTCTTGACGTAATATTGACCAGTCTATTCTAGATGACTTACTTGATAGAGGAGGAGATGAAGTATGTGATGATGTCTCACTATTTTCCCTAAGATAATGATCATCATCATCATCATCATTGTAATCTTCATGATATACATTTGCATATGATTCTTCAATATTGAACACATTTCGAATTGTTTGTTTATTTGAACTAAAGGTGGGAAATTTAAAGAGAAAAATATATGTATCATAACTATATGGTATAAGTTTAAATGAATGATAACTGCCACGATTATATTGTGGACTATGATTGTATATATTTTTATTGTTTAACTATTAAGTAACTAGATTTATTCGAAACTTGGTTCAAACTGAATAGTATGATAAGACTTTAAGAAGGAAGAAAAGATATGATGTCAGCTAACACAACCAAGTGCAATTGAATTTCAGCCACACTACAAGTTATCCAATACCTTTACATATGATTCACACTGAAATCTAATAACCTTTTAAACTAATGTCATGGCTTGATCTGTGAGCTACCAGTCATCATTTACGTTATATTTACCGAGGTGTATCGGGATAAGCGACTTTTTGAATTTCCTTCTGTTATGTTTATATCCCAACTATTTTGACCAATGAAATTTCAACGGCTTAATACCTCCTTCGTCAAAGTCAGTAGAAGCGTTGAAAACTCTAAGAAATACTTTATCCAATCAACATCGAATAAAAGCTTCTTGCAGACATCTAAGAAAAATGAAGAGTTATGTGTCACGTATTTATTGAATAATAATAAGCTGTATCGTTGCTATATACATATCTAGTTCGCTTCTAGAAATTTTTAGAAGAACAAAATCATATGACTCTATAGACTTGACTCCGTCAGTCAGTCAGTCAGCTACAACGTAGAACGAGGCACGCATATGCATCGGTCCAAGTTGCCATACCTCATTGACACAACAAGATGGACAACGGATACATAAAAGTAGTTAATTCAGAGGTGGTAATATATAAAAGAAAGATTGCATATAAGGATATAGTACAGGAAGAAAGATTTAGTTCGTAGAAAGAAAGATATGAAGCAATTTTAATCTCTTAGTTTAAGGGAAGACAAATAGTGTAAACACCTACATCATTGTGATCTATTCTGAGTCATGTCACCAAGTCTCCAACCATTGGTTACGACAGTCATGCGGACCCCAACCAAGTAGTCTGCATCTATCAACATGGCTCAGACTAGAAGTTAGTGACTTCAAGCACTGATGCCACGTTTTGGTTTGGCCGCCCCTAATTTTCTTCCAACCATCCCCTACACCGGTTAGCATTGCACGTCGTGGTAATCGGTGTTCAGGCATACGTAATACGTGGTCCAACCATCTCAGTCGATGAAGATTCATAACCTCATCAACTGATTTACCATCATTCCCTAATACCCTGCATCTAACCTCACTATTACTTACCCGGTGATCCCAGCAGACGCCAGCAATATTTCTAAGTCATCTGTGGTCAAATACTTAGTGTACATAACTGATTTTGGAGTATAGGTTTTTATTCACAATTCATACCATTCCTTTATTGGTTCAAGTTAAAGCATAATAATAGTAATAGTCAATGGTGATAGGAGAAAGGCTAAGAAGTCAGTAATAAATGTTCCACTTAAAAAACATCATCTAAAGAAGTCACATTTATTGATTCTATTTCCAGTTATATATGAATCATATTTTTTTTTATTTGAACACATAGATATTGATACAAGGAGGAGGCAACACAGATCTCATTTAGTTTGTGCAAGGGTTGTGATACTGCCCCGGGTCCCCCAAAAAATCGAAGCACGATGAATCAATCATATACATTATAAAATTATAAAAATGAGAAAAAGACTCGACTTACCCTAAACTTAAAACAATTTGACTACCTAATCTATTATCATTATCCTCATTATGATTATTAGATAGAAATTGTATTTTTAATTGTAAACAAGCTATTGGATATAATTTAGAAAATCTATATAATGGAATAGATTGATTTGATGATTGATTTATTGGATGATGATGATGATGATGATGATAAATAATGGATCGTCTTTGTCTGGATAATTGTGATGATGTAATAGTAGTAGATGATGATTGACTTGAATTAGATATTGTTACATCAATTGGTATAATTGGTTGATGTGTTATAAAATATTTAGGCCAATGAATTGGTAATTTTATATAGGAATATTGATTATGATTAGTGGAACATGGGAAATAATTGACTGTTGGAATAATAATAGATGGGAAATTCCCATATTGATTTGATGATATTTTAGACTAGAATTTGAGGAGAAGAAGAAGAAGAAAACAAACGATTAATTTAGATTATATTGACTACTGAATTCCTAATAGATATGTACTACTTATACTTAACCCAGTTTGTATGAAGAGTTATAATCCCGCCCCCGAATTCCCTGGTACGGCCGAGAGTGGGGAAAGTCCGCTCTCACTCTTCAAATGCTCTCACATAGCCACGTACATGCAACTACTTCCATGGAAGTCCTACTCACTGCCTTCTTGTGGCGGGGGTGTTGTTTACGAAATTGAGAGGACAAAAAGCGAATGTCCGGCTGTCTAACCGGGTTAGTGGATATGAAGGGTCCACCTAGGGGAGTGGTAATACCCTCATTCCAAATCAATGGTGCACATAGGCTCCAACAAATGGGGTATGAACCAATCGTTGGTCACCGGCTACCATGGAATTGCATCTCCTGACGTCACTCCACTGGCTTGTGGGTCAGACCTTCAGGTCGAAGGCTCCGGGTGTGGCCTCCTAAGAAAACCACCTATTTTGGTTTGGGCACCCGGGCAGTATCACAGCCCTCACACATTTCAAATGAGATTTGTGTGGCGCACATGCATTTGGTGCCTCCTTGTACCAATATCTATGTGTTAAAATGAAATAAATAAATAAATCTATTACAACAATAGAACATTCATCCTATATGTTTACATAAAAAGCTTGTGACTTAAGGCTATATTGAGGTAATTCGCACAGGATGCACATAAGCCAACATGGCACTGATCAATTGTAGTCCTAAATAACAATGGGAAGATACAAATAAAACAACATCAAGTGAATTTAAACTTCATCCCATTGTACAAGTTAATGGCTATTAGGACTCAGTAGCTAAGTGGATAACGCGATGGAGTTTGGAGCGAACGGTACTGGGTTCGAGCCTCAGAATGAATATCAACTCTGATGCAGGTACATCCAGCTGACTAGTGCCAAATAGGACGAAACGCGCGTGAAACTGGATTTCACTGCTAGCCACTATCCATCTTTGCTCAAACAGCTATATTGAGGTAATCCGCACAGGATGCACATAAGCCAATAATGGGAAGATACAAGTAAAACAAAAACCAAGTTAATTTAAGAAATCTTAATATTTCAGTTTCTTAGTTCATTAGTGATCATATTTACTTCTCCCTTCTTTGTTTATTATATTTCTATATGGTACCACAATTAAAACCTCACACTGGATGGTTTGTTTTTCGAAATATGATGCTTGATTTATTGACCTTAGTTCTTATTCTGATTAACAATAAGTAATGTGAAGTTTATTCTGACATCACCATTAGGAAGGATGCATTCTCTCATTCAGTACGATTTTAGTGGCGTATATGAACCTGAGATATATCATGATTGGTTATATTCATTTATTCTCTAGAATAGAACTATGCCTTCGAGAAATGTTCAGCCTTTTCTTAATGGATTGTTATGCATAATTCAATGGTTATTAGATTATAATTGTCTTACAGCAACTAGAGTGATATAATTTTAATAGTTGACATCATGAGTCTATTAAAGCTAGACCACCATGAAAAACCTGGAAGCACTGGACAGTCGTTTCGTCCTACTGTTGGACTCCCCAGCAATGCGCATCCACAATCTCGTCTCACCAGATTCGAACCCAAGACCTATCGGTCTCGCGCGCGAGCGCTTAACGATTAAACCACTGAGCCGGCATCCAACAGTGTTAATGTCTAACTTCAACTAATCCACGAAATTGAGCGACACATCCAACATTGTCTTTAAGTGAGTTACTATCTCATAACAGACCTGGTTGAAGTTAACTGGTCACTGCTCCTCATTAGAACTTCAGGAAATACCTCTAAGAGACCGTCACTAATGAACTTCAACTAACTCATCATCTAAACCATTACATTAATATCCACAAAACCCGCTTCTGATATAGTAACATTAATAAATACAACATATCAGTAGTACATATTAATTTCATTTTGAAAGAAGGTCTTATCCATTAGACATAAACTTAATTTTACGATGAAAATTTTCCAGATGGAACATCTTAACATCTATCTGAATCAACTACTACAACTGTTACTAATATCAGTCCAACCAATACTCATTATAAATTAGTCCGTTTAAGAGAGATATAAACAGTAAAGAAAGTAAGTATTTTCACTAACAGCTTCAAATAAACAACAGTATTATCAATATGACTTATTGTAAACTATATTCTAATCTTTATTTTTTTAAACACATAAACATTGATACAAGCGCCACATATATCATTAAATTTGTGTGAGGGTTGTGATACTGTCCTGGTGACCAAACCGAAACAGGTGGTTTTCTTAGGAGGCCACACCCGAAGCCTTTGACTTAAATGTTTAATCTACAAGTCAGTGAAACAACTTAATATGATGTAGTCCTACGGTAACCGATGATCAACGATTGGTTCGTACGCCATTTGTTTCTTTAGGATCCTGGAACCATGTACACCATTGGTTTGGAATCAAGGTTTTCCAACTCTCCCAGGTGAATCTTTCATATCCACCAACCCGGTTAAAAGGTCGGACATTCGCTTTTCGTCCTCTCAATTTCACAAACAACATCGTGATGTCGAGAAAGCAGTGAGTAGGACTTCCCTGTCATTGCATTTCGAGAGGGAGAGCTGACTCTCCCTACTCTCGACCGTACCAGTGCACTTGGAAGCCACAAATATACCATTCATTCATTAATTTATTGTTACGATAATGCAAAAGTTAGAGAATTGAAGAAAACACAAATAGGCTAGGTAAAACATCTTTGTATTCTAGTTCAATATCTGCTTTTCTTGATTTGTACTTCGTTTAAGTCACCTTTTCTTTCAATCTACTCTACCAATGTTTGTTCAGTACCATATAACTGAGAATGCAACTAACAAACTGAATATATTTTATATTGATTGCTAATTGATACATTTCATATTGGTATATTCTTCATATTCAGAGTACACTGTGTAACTATATCTAATTGTAATCACCTTAGAAATGCTGTATACAGTAAACTATGCTTTTAATGATGTGACTAAATTTTCTTGTTTTAATACAAGATTATTATTATTATTTTAACACATAGGTATTGGTACAAGGAGGCACCAAATACAAATGCGACACATAAATCACATTCGATATGTGTGAGGGCTGAGATACTCCCCGGGTGCCCAAACCGAAGCAGGTGGTTTTCTTAGGCTAACACTCCCCGAGCCTTCGACCTGAATGTCTGACCCACAAGGCAGTGGAGCATCGTAAGGAGATGCAGTCCCATGGAAGCCGGTGACCAACGATTGGTTCATACGCCATTTGTTCCCGCAGGATACTGGAGCCCATGTGTACCATTGGTTTAGAATCCGGTTAAAGCGCCGGACATTCGCTTTTCATCCTCTCATTTTCGTAAACAACACACCCGCCACGAGAAGGCAGTGAGTAGGACTTCCCTGGCAGAAGCTGTATACGCGTGGCCGTGTGAGAGTATTTCGAGAGGGAGAGCGGACTCTCCCTACTCTCGGCCGTACCAGGGCATTTGGGGTTTGAAAATTTGCATTATAACACATGTAATACTAAAAGATTTAAACGTTTCGCAACTGAATGTAAATCACTTCTTCAGAGAATAATTAAACAAATTAAATTAGATCAAGTCGTGATTTCCATCAAATTAATATAATACACGTTTCATTTGTAGTAATACAAAGGGACAATGCAAAACTATTTTATATAATCAATCAATCAGAAAAAACAGGTCTGATCAAGTCCATTTATTATGTCACTCAGGTCAAGGTAGTATTCATGAGATATACTTGTGTATTTTTGTCTATGGTATGATATGGTATGGTAATAAGTGTGATACATGCGATATTTATAATATGAAAATGGTGTGAGATATGAATAGAATCCGATATAGTAGCTTGAGTAGATGGTCCGAATTGGATGGATGGTAAGGCTTTGTATTCTATTGAGAACATTAGGATTTAACAGTATATGGAAAGCTTATAGTTGGGAAAGCTTTTGTCGGATTGTTTTGATATGGATTTGATGACCATTAAAGATGGAATATATAACTATTACTGACTTAATTTAGAATTCAAAGCTCTACAAGATAATGAGATGCTTTTTTGTGTAGTTTAGATGTTCTTTAGCTCAAGTCAACATTTTAAAAGACGACTCTGCAACATCAAAGGTATTACAATAGATAAATCCTAATCTGTAGACAGTTTAGAGTTGACATAAAGAGAATCATATGCTTTATACGAAATGAAGCATTGAAAACGGTTTTAGTTGTTTTGTAGTATGTTTTAATTCTGTCGTACCGTACTTGAAAACTCAAAAACATAAAAAGGCACTTAATAATCCTGTCGAACTTGAAATTTTAAAATAAGTCAGTAATAGATATATATATTCACTTCGGCACTTGAACCCAGTAACGTTCGCTTCAAACACCATCACGTTATCCACTTAGCTACTGAGTCTTGATAGCCACTAGCTTGTGAGATAGGGTGAAGTTTAAATTCACTTTTTTACTGGTTGTTTGAAGCTTTCAATCGATGTATAAGATTGCAACTGGTCAATCTCTTATTGGCATACGTGCATCCTGTGTCGATTGCTTCAATATCGCCAATAAAAGACTGGATTGGAGTGGTAGAGTGAACATCAACTGTAGTATACAGGTACGTCCAGCTGTCGAATCCTCCTGTTATATCCGAGCGAAGATTAAATCACGAGTAACTTCTGAGCCAAATGAATTGACTAATATTATCTATACATTCTTATGGTATAACTATTCAATAATTAGATTAGGTATATTTATATTCCCCTTGTTATAAGCTTTATTTTGACCTATATATATGATTATTGTACGATTTATGGTTCTTAAGCTATGTTCAGTTTATTGACTACTGCCTCTCACGTTCACAACCACTTTTTGGCTTTATTGTGTACAAATGTGTTTTCCTATTTTATGGTACGTTGTGGTCTGTTTGGTTGATATATAAACC